ATTGATATTAATTTACGATACTGTTATTAAAAACAAAAAAAATAATATTTCAAAATAATTTTAAAAGTTCAATAATTCACAAGTGAGCAAAATTCCGACCACAACATTTTGGTGCCCCAAAAAACTGGCACCCGGAGCAGTTATAGCCAGTGCCCCCTAAATGCGGCTCTGTTGAGGGGGGCCTTGACAGTTTTACATTAAATTTAAGAGGCCCTACAACAAAAAAGGTTAAAAAGCACTTATGTAATAGCCAATGCAATGCCATTATTTGATCGTATTTTGGTGAGAATTAGTGAAATGAGATATGTTTTACCAGTTCCATCTGGTGCATCCAAAAAAAAGAATCCATTTTGTCTTGCCAAAACTCTCAGCATAACGCGGTCATAATTAATTATTTGTTCATGGTTGCTACTTTACCTACATCTTCCAATGTTTTTGAAGTTATAAAAGTAAAATAAAAATTACTTAGCGTTGCGAACTTCAAGGATATTTGTATTGCATCTGATCGGACTACTCAGTAACGGCAGTATTTTTCTAAATTTTTGGTTCAACTTAAGCTCCGTAATGAAGTTGGCAAAGATTATTTACTTATTACATTTATAAACAATGCACCTACTACCTCAAAAACTATTAAGCAAATTAGTTACTGTAAACAATCTATCTGTATAATATCAGAATGTCAGTAGTTTAAATACCATATTAGAGCCATTAATACGTAACATAACACTTCTTAATTATGATTTAATTATATTAACCGAAACTCGACTATCCCGTTCTGTTAATGACTCTGAACTTATACTTTATTCTCATCATACTGTTTTCCGATGTGATAAACACGAAATTAATGGCTCTGACATTCAAGATGGAAGAGTCTTAATTGCAGTCCAATTTCCATGTTATCACTTAATTATACAACACAATTTGGTTGAGCGATTATTTGTAAAAATAAATATGAATTAAATTTGTTTAATAGTTAACTACGTGTAATTCCTATCGCGCTCTGATTTAAATTAATTTAATATCTATGTCAATGTTATGGATCATCTTATGTGTACTATAATGGTAAATTCTTGGTGTTAGGTTACAATTTGACTAATGCTAATTGGGTTATTAATAATTACAAAATTATTCCTAGATTATCAAATAATAATTCTTATGAATAAAATATTCTATCTACTTTATTTATGTTAATTTACTGCAATATAACTTAATATATGCTCTTTTAGATCATTATTTGATCTAGTTTTCTTAAATATTTTCAATGTGCTAAAATTGCTGAAAATAAAATTGAATGGTATTTCACTGTAATTACTATAGATTATATAGATCTGAAAAAAAAACAAGAGTTTTTTTAAAAAAAGTGAGTTTACAAACAATTTAAACTCAGAGGTGCTAAAAACCCTATTGAGCCCCCCCCTCTTAATTGCATCTATGACTATAAATATTATCCTACTTTACAAATTACACTTCCATTTTCAACTACAAATAATAATTTACATTTTAATGAAATTGTTTATGACTTAATTATTATAATATCATTAGGCCACGTATAGCCTCGATTGATTGATTGGAGTTGCACATTTAAAGATTTATGTATTAATGAAGCACTTAATGTATTTTACACCAAATTATATGATACAATTAATACACACTGTCATAAAAAACGTATATTCTTTTCAAAGTATCCCTTATGATTTTCTAATATTCTAAAACAGTTAATTTTTTCAAAAAAAATTGTCCATAAAATATATAAAGAAGCTCCGACTAACGTAAACTATAATCATTTCTCTAATGTACGTGCTCAATGTAAAATTGTAAATAAGACCGATTATGAAAATTGTATACAGAAAAAGCAAAATTCAATCGCCTCTAATCTTAAAAGGTTCTGGAAATATATTCATTACAAACGATCAAATTCTTCTTTTCCATCTGTTATCTCATACAATAATCAAACCGTTACTGATGGTGATAAAGTCGCTTAGTGTTTTATCAATTATTATTCTATTATTTATCAAAACTTAAATCTTATGCAAAAAACATACGTTCATATTAAATCAATGAAAATCGATCTGAATACCTATGTCATTACTTTAAGTGATATTTATAACGAGTTAAACAGCCTTAAGTCTACTACTTGTCATAGTTCTGATAGTATTCCATATTTTATTTAATAACTGTAAATTTGTTTTGTCTATTCCTTTATTATATTTATTCAACATGTTACTTGTCTGGAATTTTTTCAGATAAATGAAAAGTTTCTTATATTCTATCAATTTTTAAAGGGAGTGATAGTTTAGTTACATTATTATTTCCTTATTTAGATAAATTCTATAACTCCTAAATTGTTTGAAAGCATTGTACACAAAAAATGTTTTCCTTTATTTAAAATTATTATCACTATTGTTCAAGATGGCTTTATGTCGTGTAAATCAGCCACCACGAATCTACTACTGTTCCAAAATTACGTCCTAAAAGCTTTCAGATCTGTCTTTCAAGTGGACGTAATATCTATCAATTTCTCCAAGGCGTTTAATAAAGTAGATCATATTGCTCTATGCTTAAAATTATTTAATCTAGGTTTACGAAATTTTTTCCACTTTTGGTAAGTTTCTTTACTTAAAATATTAGTTTTAATTCGTCATTATCCAAAATTAACTCTGGTGTTCTTCAAGAATCACATTTAGCTCAATTTCTATTTAATTTATTTTTCAATGATATCGAATTTTTAAACTCTAATACGCTATTGATAATTTATTGTTTCAGGAAGATCTAAATCAACTAAGCACCTGGTGTATTCAAAATAATTTATAATTAAATATATACAAATGTAAAATTATGACCTTTGTAGAAATTCGTAATCCTATCTCACATAATCATTATTTAAACAACATCAAATTGGATCGTATTTTTCTATATAAGGATTTGGAAATTTATTTTGATCTATCTCTTTCATTTAATGATCACTATATTCATATCTAAAATAAAGCCTCTTCAATGTTAGGCTTCATAAATCGTAGATGTAAAAACTTTATCAATCAATTATCATTAAAATCACTCCACTATTTCTTTGTTGGATCGATTATGAATCCACAGTGTGGTCTCCGCAGTTAATTGGTATTCTAAAAGGCTTTGATTTAATTCAAAACCATTTTCTACGAATTATTCAATTTAGATAACAATATAAATATTTAAATACATTCTTCTAGTAGCCGCCAAGCTAAGTAAAATTATTTGCACTAAATAAATTCACAAGGTACAATAAATACTATCAGTTATAAATACTTTTATATTAATGAATTTATGAAATTACTTAGCCAATTTTTGATATCACAACTTTTGTAATTTAAGTGCTTATTTTTACTTAGCGATGTTTTTACACGGAGTGTTTTTGATGAGATAAAATATACGCGTACGATCGTTTTACGTATGATTCGACGGACGTTACGTGGTTGCGAGACGCAAAAACAACAACGGATAATAATCGACTGAACTAAACAAATAAATCTATTATTCTATATCGACTATTATCTTAATTGACATCCGGTCGATATCCAGGGATCGATACCGGTTTATAGTATTATTCATACTTACACAAAAATTATAACGAGATATGAGAGGTAATTTGCAGATAGCATATTACTGAAAGCATTTAAGTCCTCTTAGTGCATTTTTTTTTTCGATCGGTTGAAATATATATATATATATATATATAGTTTTTAATTTTAAATTTAAAAAATTTGTCAAAATATGCAAAATAAGCATAACAATTTTAAAATATGCACTCTCCTACAAAATCTATCAAATATGCAAAAATATGCACATTCAAATTTTAGATCTGATATCATAGCATTGAGAAACGAATTTATTTAGTACTTTGCTATATTTAACAATAATTAAAAAAGTATACAAATGCTAGAAGTCCCTAAGCCTAATTATTACTAATGATTAGCTACAGATTTTGTGAATTATCTAGATAAATTTATCTAGATGAAAATTAGATATCAATTTTATTTTTTATCTAGATAACATATCTAGATAAATTTATCTAAAGCACAACACTGTTAATATCCCAAATTGAAGAATTAGGCAGTAGTATACTTTTTATGTGCCACTCCAACGTTCAAAATATAGACAAAATATAGGGTTACCATACGTTCGGATTTCGTCCAGACAGTCCGGATTTCAAACATCTGTCCGGATTGGCGTCCGGATTTGAAAAATGTCCGGATTTTACAAAGATAATCGTTTAACATGGTTATATTGATACAAAATGTTATATCAGGTGACAAATTTTCATGTTTAATTTGTATAAATGTACAATATGTAATTATTTTTTTTTTTTATAGTAAAAATAAAAAATAAATGTAAATATAAATATATAAATATATGATATATTATATCATATTTGTATTGTTTTAACATATTTAACCTAATAACTCTTATGTAAACATTTTATCCATAGATCTAAGTAAAATTGTATTAATGAAATAACAATATTGTTTATTTTCTATTTTTTGTTCTGTAATGTAGTTCACAGCAGAGCACCGTGGCTAAATTGGGTCCAAAAAAAGGTACCGCTGAAAAAAAAGTTTGGGAACCGCTGATAAAAGTATGACCGCTTTTTTCAACCAAAATTTTTTTTCATCGAAATAGTCATTGCTCTAATGTAAAATAGTATAGTATCTCCCGGGCAAGGTCGGTTAATTCTGATAGAATATGCTTATATTATTAAATCAGATTTTTTTTTTTTTATTTATAAAAGAAAACAAGTTAATTATTTATATAACATCAGTATTATCATTGATTATAAATACTAGTATATAGTATTTTAATCAATGTTATTATATTATATAAACTAGATTAGTTGGATCCAAAACAAACTATTTAGTTAAACGTACCAACCTACGAAGGCGGCATTATTATTACTTGTTTCTGTCTATCTTTAATATTGATATAATATTAAAATTAGGTATATAAAAGGTGTCTATTATATAATTTTAGCTAAAAATGTTGAATGTTTTATTTATTGTTTTTTCAATAATATGGATCACAAATGCAGCTAATTTATTAGTATTTTGGCCTTTGCCAATTCCGAGTCACTTTTACAGCTTCAAGCCACTATTTACAGAACTCGCGTTACAAGGTCACAATGTAACTGTTGTCAGTCACTTCCCAGAATCCACTCCCATGGCTAATTATACGGATATCACAATTATGGACGAAACGACGAAGTACAACGAATCAACGACAAATAGAATTAATGGTAAATTTAAAGTTCATCGAATTATTTTTTATTGTGGTTTACTATTCGGACATAAATACAATAAAAAAACACTATTTTTAAAAAATTTCAATTTAGCGGGAAAAAATAATCAAAATTTATAATTAATTTTAATTTATGACGAGACTAAAAGGACAGATTTTTTGAATCCTACGCAATGCAGTTGTATAACGTTAAATTAATTATGTTTTGTTAAAATTTTATAGATAATCTTATGGATGTTATTAATTGCAACTTTTTTCAAGTATTGTCTATTGGTTGGACATTAAACAAAAGATATGCAGAGTCTATACTTCATTTAAAAAACCTTCAAAATTTTATAACATCCGAGTCTTATACGTTTGACTTGGTACTGATCGAGTCGTTTTACCAAGAGTACACTGTGACAATGGGTCATAAGTTCAACGCCCCCGTCATATGCATTACTTCCACACTCATACAACCTACAAACAGTCATTGGATTGGTTTACCGTCGACATTTTCCTATTTACTGGACATTCGTTCGCGGTCATGTGATCATAAAACGTTTTATGATCGATTGAAATCAACTTATCTGGGCTTTGTTCAAATTTACTTAGAACGTTATTTTTACATACCAACGCAGGAAGAATATATCAATAAATATTTCAATTATAAAAATCATGAATCTAGACCGCCCATAGATGTAATGTTATCTAACGTGTCACTAATATTAGTAAATGGAGATTTAAGTGTGGGAGCTCCAAGACCATACTTACCAAATGTTATCGAAATAGGAGGATTACACATAAAAGTACCTAAACAGTTGCCTAAAGTAAGACTAATAATATTTGGAATTATTCATGACATTGTCATACTGATCTAATTCGGTTATTATATTTTTCAGAGTATAAGAACATTTATTGAGTCTGCTAAAAACGGAGTAATTTTTATTAGTTTTGGCACTTATATCCATCCTTGCGAATTCCCAAAACATACTTTGGACGCATTTATTGCTGTCATAGGTAAATTAAAACAGAAAATATTATGGAGATGGGCATGTAATACAACAAAAGCGGATCTATTTATAGACAATGTAATGCTAAAAGAATGGTTTCCGCAGTTTGATATCTTAAGTATGTACTTACTAAATTATTTTAAAATCATACAGGGTATTTTTATATTTTCTGTGGATTAGTGTACAAATAATAATACAGTTTAGAAAACATGTCATTTTAATATCTGTGATAGGTCATAGGCTGTAGGCGAAGGAAAACTCACTAGCGCTCCTGACAAACTTAGAAAAAACGTATTTTTACCAATTAAAAAGTTGATTTGATGAATGATTATTTTACTATATTTCTTACAAGTACAATTTATTTCTTCAAATTAAATTTCTTCTAAGAATTTCTTTATACTAATTTCATCATTAAATTCACACCTAGTGTGTACAATTAGATAAAATAACATATTTCAAAAAATATAATGGAAAAATTTCGTTTTGAAGGCAGAATAAATATACGTTTTTTGCAGAAATTTGTACTCCTGGTGTAGGCACAGTTCACCATACCCTTACTATACCACTGATCATAGATAATACAAAACAGATCAATAATAATGTTATTTTTTTTTAATCAATAGATCACCCAAATGTTAAGTTATTTATCACTCATGGTGGGCTACATAGTGTTGAAGAATCTACGTATAATGCAGTTCCTATGATTGGAGTACCATTCTTTTCTGATCAATTTACGAACATTAAGTTGGTCGAACGAAAAGGTTTTGGGAAGTTAATAGAAGTCAACGATATAACTGAAAATACATTACAGACAATAATTGATGAACTATTGTTTAATCCGATGTAAGATTTTGCCTATATTTGATAAATTTGTTTCGTGGAACAACCTTCCAATCTTCTCATATATTGTTCCTTATATTTAAAACTATTTAATTAATCCATATTATATATGTATTTACAGATATATATGGTCAAAATAAATAATTATTGTTTTTTTTATGTTACTTTATTAAATTTTTTTTTTGTTTTAAATTTACAGATATAAAGAGAACGCAATTGCGTACAGTGAAATTTATAAAGATGGATATTTGAAACCCATAGATAAAGCTATTTACTGGATAGAATATATTCTACGAAATAATGGAGCACCAAATTTAAAAAGCTATTCTATTCAATTAAATTCTATTCAATATTTCTTGATTGACATCTTAGTACTGTTTTTAATTTGTATAGTCTTAGTAATATACTTAGTTTACAAAATGTTGTCAACATTAAAAACGAATATAATAAAGTATACTTACATAAGTAGGGAAAATTAAAATTCCCAGTAATTTGATACGTTTATAGTTATTACCACACAATACTATAGTTAATATTTGTAATTTATGTTACAATAAATAATAATACTTTCATCATAATGAATTTGTATTTTTAAGAATTTTTCATTCTTACAGATGATATATAATATTTATAATTTAATTCATGATAGAATATCGATTTTAAGGAAAACGCGGTTATTGAACTCGAGGGATATAATAAGGATATAATAATTGGTGGTTGTACAAAACAGGTTACTTGGTGTGTTAATTACAAATATATCGAGTATGTCTGGTTTTTTTCATAGAGAGGTAGGCCAATAAGTTGGTCCGAGGCGTGCGAGAATTTTAAAACCCTTAAGATTAATAAAATTATAGAGAACCAAGCCTCTTGGGTTGTTTGATCGACAGCCCCAGCTGTGGTGCTTTGCATTGTAATCACCACCTATTATGAGGTTCTAACAAAGAGTGTTAAAGTAATCTAAGTAATTTTGAATTTTAGTATTATATCTCGGAGGAGAATAAATTGCTGCTATAGTTGTTGGAATATTATTGAAATGAAGCAGGATAGCACAAGACTGTATATGGGGTTGAGAAAAGTTTGGAAAGGTTTGAAATTACCAGTGTTAGGAATAGATAATGCAAAATTTATCTAGATAAAGATGAAAGGTAATATGTCCAAATTCATCTTCTTCTTCTTCTTCTGGCCTGTTAATACGGACCATTGAAGTCCTTTGCCGCTTTCACAATCCTTCTCCACTGATTCCTATCCGTTGCCATGCCTATGCTGAAGGTGTTGTTTATTTTTAACAGGTCTCTCTTCACCGTATCAAACCATCTCTGACGTGGTCTCCACAGCGGTCTCTTTCTAGTTGGGTTCCCCACCATAACCTTCCGTATGAGGCATCTTTCTGCCCGCCACACGTGGCCTGCCCATTCTATTATCTTACTATGGACGAATTGGCATATACTTGGGTTGCTAAAAAGTCTTTGTATTACGTTATTCTTTCTTCTTTCGAATATCCCTGAATTCACATTATATACTGGACCATATATTTTCCTTTCGAAGCTTGAGAGTTTTTCTTCATCTCCATTTGTACTTGCCCATGTTTCACATGCATATGTTGCTATGGGGCGCAAATATGTGATATATAACCTTTCTTTCGTTCGTCGCGACAGAAGCTTTGATGAGAACATCTCTTTCATAGCGTAATAGCTTTAATTCGCTGCGCACATTCTAAGCTTGATTTCGTTGTGCATATTATTTTACTCATTAATATTTACTCCCAGATATTTAAATTCTTCCACTTGTTCGAATGAGTATCCATTTACCTTGATATTATTCTTTAGGGTCACTTGCCTTGACACAACCATATATTTTGTTTTGGCTTCATTAACTAATAAACCCATATTATGACTAGCAATGAATAGTCTCTTTGTCTTTTCTTCAATTTCTTTCTGAGATATTCCTAGAATGACGATGTCATCCGCATACGCTAAAAGTGTGTTAGCCCCAATTATTTCCATCTCTTGTTTCTCCCGGATGTCTCTTATCACTTTTTCAAGCACCAAGTTAAAAAGTACTGGCAATAATGCGTCTCCTTGTCTCAAACCGGTTTTACATTCAAAATTTGCAGATGTCTCTCCCATGAAACGTACTTTGCAGAAGGTCTGTTGGTTGCATATTTCAACTAGTTTCAAGGTTTTCTTAGATATTCTAAAATTTCTTAGTGCAATCCATAATTGTTCTCGGTCTAGACTGTTGTACGCTTGCTTAAAGTCTACGAACAGAATATGAAGATCTTTATTGTACTCGTAATATTTTTCCACTAATTGTCTTAATGTAAAAATATGATCGGTGGTAGACTTTCCTCTTCTAAATTTAGTTTGGTATTCTGCTAATATTTTTCTGCATATACTTCTAGTCTTCTTAATATTGCCATTGACAGTACTTTATACGCTGAGTCCAACAAAGATATTGCACGATAATTCGACACTATCCCAATATTTCCCTTCTTAAAGATTGGGCAAAATTATTCCTGTCTTTTAATCATTGGGGATCTGTTTGTTACGCTATATATCACTTATCAGGGATTGCATTTCTTTCATTATATCTTTCCCTGTCATTTTGAATAGTTCCAAGTTTATGTCATCTTTTCCCGGGGCTTTGTGATTTTTTAGATTTTTGATGATATATTCGATTTCCTCCACGCCTGGTTCTTTACATTCTGGTTCAGCCGTTTGAAAGATCAGTTTTTCATATCTAGTTCTGATGCCTTTATTTGTCTCACTTGCATTTAGTAGAATATCGAAGTGCTTCCTAAAATGTTGTACTATTTCTTCTGGTTCCGAGATAAGATAATTCTAGTCATTTTTTAGAAAGAGTGTTTGTTGTTTGAAACCTTGCTTAAGGTACTTACAGTGTTTGAAAAATGTTCTCGGGTTATTTCTTTCTTCTTCAAGTTTTTCTAGTGCTTTCTTTTCAGCTAGTCTTTTTTCTCTCCTAATTGTTTTATTTACTATCCCTTTACAATGTTTATATTTGCTTGATTTTCTATTAATGAATTTTGTATCATGTTTAAGCGGGCTTCATTGTGTTTTTTAACCGCTTTCATACATTCATTGTTGAACCAACTGTTCTTTTTGCTTAATCTCGGTTCTGTTTTGAAATTTTCTGTATTGGAGTTTATAACCTTTCTGATAATTGTCCATTTGGTTTCATGACTATCTGCTGCCGTATTTTCTACCCTTTCATTTATATTTCGAAGTTCTTCAGCTATTCTTGTTCTATATTGTCTAACTTCTACTGGAACTTTAAGTCTATCTAAGTCTATTGTATGTGTTTTATTCCTACCTTTATTCTTTTTCCAGCTTACCCATAGTTTTTCAGTTAGGGTCGCTACTACCAAGTAATGGTCCGTATCCCCATCTGCCCCTTGATAGCTACGAACGTTCTTAAACCATGAACGATGCAATTTATCGATCGTTACGTGATCGATTTGGTTTTTTGTTGTCGCGTCCGGGGACACCTATGTCTATTTGTAGATATTTTTTATCTGAAAGTAGGTACTGCTGATGATGATATCGCGGGACATCGCAAAGCTTATAAAACGAGTTTCATTATCATTGGATTCGATGTGGAGGCTTTCTTTGTCGATTGTTGGACTAAATACATTTTCTCGGCCTATTTTTGCGTTCATGTCTCCAATTATTATTTTGATGGCTCGTCGGGGGAATGAATCATATGTCCTTTCCAGTTCTTCATAGAAAGCGTCTCTGCTTTTATCTTCAGTCGAAGCGTGGCAATTAATTATTATTATATTCTGGCCACTAATTTTTAGGCGGATGAAGCATATTCGTTCATTTATGGCTTCAAATTTATTGATGTTTTGTAATAGTCTATCGTTTATCATAAAGCCAACTCCGAATTCATGCCTCTCATCCCCACATTCACTGTAAAAAATTGTTGTTTCTTTATGTTTGATGCTGCCATTACCCGGCCATCTCATCTCTTATAATGCTACAATTTGCAAATTATATATTATCTCATCAATAATTATTTTCAATGCTTCTGGTTTGTAGAAGGTTGTAATATTCCAAATACTAATCCTTAAATTCCTGAAGGTTTTCCTGTTTCCGTTTCCATTATCATTAATCAGTGTCCGAGGCTTGTTTAGAAGTTTCTTAACAATGAGGTGTTTTTAGAGTGATGGGGTGTTGGCCCATCAACAAACCTTCATGAATGAAGGGCCCAACATTGTGGTGATGGTGCTTCAGCGACAAGATCTTAGTGTCTGCCTACTTACCTGAGACGGCTCGAGGCCCTTCAGGCTACACCATCGCCGGTTAACTAAGGTCCGCGGGGTTGTCACACCTGTTACCCAAAAAAAGTACCTCATGCGGGACAAATTCATCTAGATAAAGATAATAGATAAAAAAAAAGTTAAAATATCTAGATAAAGATAAAAGATAATTTCATTTTTATCTAGATAAAAAAAAAGATATTTTCAAAGTTTTTTATTTTTTGGTCAATATTTCATATTTGTAATAATATCTATAAAGACTCAATTATTATCATTATTATCAATAGGTACCTAGGTGTTTAATGTTTATTGTAGTAATGTAGTGTACCATTAAGCAGTATTTATATATAATTTACAATATTTAATGATAGTTAATTACTAAAATGTTACACAAAAAAAAAAAAAAAAAAATGAAAATTGCTCTGTACGTATTAGGATGAATACATAAAGTAGGCTAACCAATTTTTATGATCTCTGATTTGTTGGATTCGTCCCCGTACAAAAATAAAAATAACTTTAATCTTTGCAAGAATACAGACAATTATCTAGATAAGTAAAAATTGTATCTTAGATAATTAATTAGATAACTTGGCGTTATTTATCTAGCTAAGATAAAATATGACAAAAAAATCTATCTAGATAATTTATTTAGATAAGTCCCAACACTGGAAATGACAAGGATAATTTAATATAAATTGAAGCGTCACCGTGAGTAGTGTTATCTAGGTGATTTGATTTTAAGAACTGGTAACCAGGTATGGGGATGTGATAGTACTTTGAGAAATGGGTTTCTGATATCAAAGCAATATCAATGCGTTTTCCTTGAGAATTAATTGAAGTTCGTTTAAGTAGTTTTTAAGACCATTTGAGTTGAATAGAGGGATAAGGAGAGAGTTGGTTGTGTATGACGACATTAATTTTTATTTAGAAGCTTTGGGACAACTTTGGTGAGTAGGGCTATTAGTGGCTTTATTAGTAGTTTGAACTCATCAAGGAATTTATTTATATCTGATATAGAAGGCAGGATAGTGTTGTTTTGGGGTGGGGATCGGAAGTAGCTTGTGCATAGGTTTAGGACGAATTTGATTGATGTGATGAGGGGGTTACCACTGGATGACTAACCTTTACATTTTCCTTATGACTAATATTATCCGACAGAAAAACACTCTTTTTTGGCTTGTTTCAATGTTGCGAGTGTTTATAGTTTGAGGAATGATCGCCGGAACAGAGGGTACAATTTGGAGTAACATCTCGTGGGTTTGGGCAGTCCGAAGAAGAATGGTGAGCACCGCAGCATACGCATCGAGCTGGGTAGCTACAATACGATTTGAAATGCCCATACACTTTTATCTTGGTGTAGATGAGATATGTTAGTTTATATATTTCGTTAGATTGTATAGTAGGCTCAAGATCTATGAAGAAAAGAGGTAGCGGCAGTTTTATTTTACATAGAACACTTGTTATTTGGCGAACTTCAAATAGGCGTAGTTCAAGTTCTGATTTGATAAGTTCTGTAGACGTAGATGGATGAAGATTACTAATGACTACACGCATTGGCTTGTCTTCCTTGAGTTGATAAGTATGATATTCTGATTTTTGTTCTTTTAGGAAATGGATCAGCGTCCAATAAGAATTTGTGTTATTTGTCATAATTTTTAGGCGATCTGTCGAAGATTTACAGTAGAAATTATCCACACCAATTAGTTCAATAAAGCTTGCGCAAAGGTCTGTAAAATTGATAACGCCTCTAATAAAAATTGGTGGAGGTAGAGTTGATTTGATACCGACCCTGAGGGTTTCTTCCGTATATTTCACGGGAGTGTCCGGTTGGGTAGTATTTGATGTGGTAGCAGACATTGGTTTGTTTTGTGAGAGAACTTCATAACGATTTGATGTAAAAAATAATTTTGTGTTGTTTTGAATTTTTCGGTGAATTTTGTTCGGATGAAGAGGAGTGGTTTCTTTTGTTTTTTGACGGTATCGTTGTCCAATTGTCTGATGGAGAATGAGAAGGAGAATTATTCATTTTAGTGATATTCTGGTTGACTGGACGGCCACTGTTGTTAGTTATTGGAGTTTTGTTTAGGCGAACAGTCTATGGTTTACTAGTATCGTAAGTATTTGTGGTGATTAAATTTGAATTTTTATTTTTGAACGTTGATTGCAGCATAATTAATGTACAATACGAACAAGGTCGTTACCGCCGCTCGCGACGAGCGTTTAGTCGTTGTCGTCGTCCGCGGCGTGCAATAAGGACGACTCGTTATAACGGCACGTTTTATTTAATAGCGAAAAATGTAGGTAGACGACGGCGTGTTATTGAATTTTTATTATTTATATTATTTATAAACATCTATAGACAGAGCCAACTTAGGAAATATGGGCCCGGGACAATATAATTTT